GTCAACTGGTTAGATGGTCAACTGGTTAGATGGTCAACTGGTTAGATGGTTACATGGTCAGATGGTCAGATGGTTAGATGGTCAACTGGTTAGATGGTCAACTGGTTAGATGGTTAGATGGTCAACTGGTTAGATGGTCAACTGGTTAGATGGTTAGATGTTCAGATGGTCAACTGGTTAGATGGTCAACTGGTTAGATGGTTAGATGGTCAGCTGGTTACATGGTTACATGGTTACATGGTTACATGGTTAGATGGTCAGATGGTCAGCTGGTTAGATGGTCAACTGGTTAGATGGTTAGATGGTCAACTGGTTAGACGGTCAACTGGTTAGATGGTTAGATGGTCAACTGGTTAGATGGTCAACTGGTTAGATGGTTAGATGGTCAGCTGGTTAGATGGTTACATGGTCAACTGATTACATGGTCAACTGGTTAGATGGTCAACTGGTTAGATGGTCAACTGGTTAGATGGTTACATGGTCAGATGGTCAGATGGTTAGATGGTCAACTGGTTAGATGGTTACATGGTCAGATGGTCAACTGGTTAGATGGTTAGATGGTCAACTGGTTAGATGGTCAGCTGGTTAGATGGTTACATGGTCAACTGATTACATGGTCAACTGGTTAGATGGTCAACTGGTTAGATGGTCAACTGGTTAGATGGTTACATGGTCAGATGGTCACATGGTTAGATGGTCAACTGGTTAGATGGTCAACTGGTTAGATGGTTAGATGGTCAACTGGTTAGATGGTCAACTGGTTAGATGGTTAGATGTTCAGATGGTCAACTGGTTAGATGGTTAGATGGTCAGCTGGTTACATGGTTACATTGTTACATGGTTAGATGGTCAGATGGTCAGCTGGTCAGATGGTCAACTGGTTAGATGGTTAGATGGTCAACTGGTTAGACGGTCAACTGGTTAGATGGTTAGATGGTCAAGTGGTTAGATGGTCAACTGGTTAGATGGTCAGATGGTCAGCTGGTTAGATGGTCAACTGGTTAGATGGTCAACTGGCTAGATGGTTAGATGGTCAACTGGTTAGATGGTCAGCTGGTTAGATGGTTAGATGGTCAAATGGTCAGCTGGTTAGATGGTCAACTGGTTAGATGGTCAACTGGTTAGATGGTTAGATGGTCAACTGGTTAGATGGTCAACTGGTTAGATGGTTAGATGGTCAGCTGGTTAGATGGTTTCATGGTCAACTGGTTAGATGGTCAGTTGGTTAGATGGTTACATGATCAGATGGTCAGCTGGTTAGATGGTTAGATGGTCAACTGGTTAGATGGTCAGCTGGTTAGATGGTTACATGGTCAGATGGGTAGATGGTCAACTGATTACATGGTCAACTGGTTAGATGGTCAACTGGTTAGATGGTCAACTGGTTAGATGGTTACATGGTCAGATGGTCAGATGGTTAGATGGTCAACTGGTTAGATGGTCAACTGGTTAGATGGTTAGATGGTCAACTGGTTAGATGGTCAACTGGTTAGATGGTTAGATGTTCAGATGGTCAACTGGTTAGATGGTCAACTGGTTAGATGGTTAGATGGTCAGCTGGTTACATGGTTACATGGTTACATGGTTAGATGGTCAGATGGTCAGCTGGTCAGATGGTCAACTGGTTAGATGGTTAGATGGTCAACTGGTTAGACGGTCAACTGGTTAGATGGTTAGATGGTCAAGTGGTTAGATGGTCAACTGGTTAGATGGTCAGATGGTCAGCTGGTTAGATGGTCAACTGGTTAGATGGTCAACTGGCTAGATGGTTAGATGGTCAACTGGTTAGATGGTCAGCTGGTTAGATGGTTAGATGGTCAAATGGTCAGCTGGTTAGATGGTCAACTGGTTAGATGGTCAACTGGTTAGATGGTTAGATGGTCAACTGGTTAGATGGTCAACTGGTTAGATGGTTAGATGGTCAGCTGGTTAGATGGTTTCATGGTCAACTGGTTAGATGGTCAGTTGGTTAGATGGTTACATGATCAGATGGTCAGCTGGTTAGATGGTTAGATGGTCAACTGGTTAGATGGTCAGCTGGTTAGATGGTTACATGGTCAGATGGGTAGATGGTCAACTGATTACATGGTCAACTGGTTAGATGGTCAACTGGTTAGATGGTCAACTGGTTAGATGGTTACATGGTCAGATGGTCAGATGGTTAGATGGTCAACTGGTTAGATGGTCAACTGGTTAGATGGTTAGATGGTCAACTGGTTAGATGGTCAACTGGTTAGATGGTTAGATGTTCAGATGGTCAACTGGTTAGATGGTCAACTGGTTAGATGGTTAGATGGTCAGCTGGTTACATGGTTACATGGTTACATGGTTACATGGTTAGATGGTCAGATGGTCAGCTGGTTAGATGGTCAACTGGTTAGATGGTTAGATGGTCAACTGGTTAGACGGTCAACTGGTTAGATGGTTAGATGGTCAACTGGTTAGATGGTCAACTGGTTAGATGGTCAGATGGTCAGCTGGTTAGATGGTCAACTGGTTAGATGGTCAACTGGCTAGATGGTTAGATGGTCAACTGGTTAGATGGTCAGCTGGTTAGATGGTTAGATGGTCAAATGGTCAGCTGGTTAGATGGTCAACTGGTTAGATGGTCAACTTGTTAGATGGTTAGATGGTCAACTGGTTAGATGGTCAACTGGTTAGATGGTTAGCTGGTTAGATGGTTTCATGGTCAACTGGTTAGATGGTCAGTTGGTTAGATAGTTACATGATCAGATGGTCAGCTGGTTAGATGGTTAGCTGGTCAGATGGTCAACTGGTTAGATGGTTAGATGGTCAGCTGGTCAGATGGTTAGCTGGTCAGCTGGTTACATGGTCAGATGGTCAGCTGGTTAGATGGTCAACTGGTTAGATGGTTAGATGGTCAACTGGTTAGACGGTCAACTGGTTAGATGGTTAGATGGTCAAGTGGTTAGATGGTCAACTGGTTAGATGGTCAGATGGTCAGCTGGTTAGATGGTCAACTGGTTAGATGGTCAACTGGCTAGATGGTTAGATGGTCAACTGGTTAGATGGTCAGCTGGTTAGATGGTTAGATGGTCAAATGGTCAGCTGGTTAGATGGTCAACTGGTTAGATGGTCAACTGGTTAGATGGTTAGATGGTCAACTGGTTAGATGGTCAACTGGTTAGATGGTTAGATGGTCAGCTGGTTAGATGGTTTCATGGTCAACTGGTTAGATGGTCAGTTGGTTAGATGGTTACATGATCAGATGGTCAGCTGGTTAGATGGTTAGATGGTCAACTGGTTAGATGGTCAGCTGGTTAGATGGTTACATGGTCAGATGGGTAGATGGTCAACTGATTACATGGTCAACTGGTTAGATGGTCAACTGGTTAGATGGTCAACTGGTTAGATGGTTACATGGTCAGATGGTTAGATGGTCAACTGGTTAGATGGTCAACTGGTTAGATGGTTAGATGTTCAGATGGTCAACTGGTTAGATGGTCAACTGGTTAGATGGTTAGATGGTCAGCTGGTTACATGGTTACATGGTTACATGGTTACATGGTTAGATGGTCAGATGGTCAGCTGGTTAGATGGTCAACTGGTTAGATGGTTAGATGGTCAACTGGTTAGACGGTCAACTGCTTAGATGGTTAGATGGTCAACTGGTTAGATGGTCAACATGTTAGATGGTCAGATGGTCAGCTGGTTAGATGGTCAACTGGTTAGATGGTCAACTGGCTAGATGGTTAGATGGTCAACTGGTTAGATGGTCAGCTGGTTAGATGGTTAGATGGTCAAATGGTCAGCTGGTTAGATGGTCAACTGGTTAGATGGTCAACTGGTTAGATGGTTAGATGGTCAACTGGTTAGATGGTCAACTGGTTAGATGGTTAGATGGTCAGCTGGTTAGATGGTTTCATGGTCAACTGGTTAGATGGTCAGTTGGTTAGATGGTTACATGATCAGATGGTCAGCTGGTTAGATGGTTAGCTGGTCAGATGGTCAGATGGTTACATGGTCAGATGGTCAGCTGGTCAGATGGTTAGCTGGTCAGATGGTTAGCTGGTCAGATGGTCAGATGGTTACATGGTAAGATGGTCAGCTAGTTAGATGGTTAGCTGGTCAGATGGTTAGATGGTTAGATGGTCAGATGGTTACATGGTCAGATGGTCAGCTGGTTAGATGGTTAGCTGGTCAGATGGTTAGATGGTCAGATGGTTACATGGTCAGATGGTCAGCTGGTTAGATGGTTAGCTGGTCAGATGGTTAGATGCTACAAACTAGCATCCTGCACGGCGTCTGGGATAGAGTCCGAGGTGAGCCAGGCGCTGTGGGCGGAGCTACAGCCAGAGTTTCTGCCATTAGGTACCAAACAGGAAATGCATAGATAGAGAGGATGCAGAATTGACCAATCAGAGACCTCCTGTCTGTGGTCACCTACAGTTTTGGAGTGGTGCAGCAGAGGGGGCGGGGCATAAGGTTTCTGAGCGTAAATCAGGCTGTAGTCTGCAGACTGTGGGGAATAACCACAGACTGTCATTCACCCTCCTGCAGCGCCGCCATGATGAGGAGGTCAAAGATCAGTTAAAGGCTCCATTAATATTTCCTCCTGTTCAACGAGACATTGATGAATATTTAAACCTAAATGGGTTAAAAGGCTTTAATGTTTAATAAAAAATTATATGATTTATTAAATAAATAAGTTCTGAATAGATTAGCTGCATTTCCTGCCTTTATTTCTGATCAAAAAATATCCTGATACTGCTGTGACGTCATGTCACCTCCAGGCATCTCCACTCTCTGATTGGCTGCTTGTTTTGTTTACTTTGATAAAAAGCTAAACATCGCAATGTGTTTCCGGTCCCGGCTCCTCACGTGGGCCGGCTGCTGCGGTTACCATGGTGACCATGGCGGTGAGCTGCTAATCCCCTAAACCCCCCCCCTCAGGCTGTGGTCCGCCATGTTTGGCTGTTTCTCCAGAGAAGCGCGCGCGCAGGGAGCGCGCCGCGTGTGTTTGTGCTCCCAGGGTGACGTCACAGCGGGTATATGTAGGCAGGAGGTAAACAGAGAGCAGCAGAGCGACGGTCGGAGCTGCAGCGGATCCGATCCTTTCCGTCTGTTTGGGTCGAAGCGTCCATCAGAACATCCGATCATTTCTTTCCAACTTCAGCTACAGTGATAGCTAAGTTCGGAGGGGAGAAAAGAAGAGAAACGTGGAGGAACCAGGAGAAACGAGGAGAAACCAGGAGAAAAGAGGAGAAACCAGGAGAAAAGAGGAGAAACCAGGAGAAACGGCGCGTTTTCGACTTTTCTTCTTGCTTTTTGCTGCAGGCTGACAGCAGAGGAGCCGATTTCAACACAAAGAAGGAAAAACATCCGTCCTGTTAACATGGAAGCTGCTGCCCCCAACAAGAAGAGCTGCTGTGGTGAGAAACCCTCCCTATCAGCTGCAGGTTCTGCTCTCTGACCCGGTTCTGATCCAATCACATGTCTTTGCAGAATCCCTCAGAGATTTCTTCACTTCAGCCAAGTTCCTTATTTACATGGGCCATGCTCTGTCAACCTGGGTGAGTAGAAACCTGCAGCCTTCCGATCGGTGTCACGTTTCAGCTCATCTAGGAGCAAAGGGAGACCCATTCTGTTTCCATTATCTATGCTTCCCAGAAACACTTTATCTCAGAGAAACGCTGCCTCGCAGCACAAACGATTGTCCTTCAGAAACTCAAAGAAACATTTCACAGAAGCGTCCAGCTGGGAACCAGCCGGGAACCAGCCTGGAAACACGTCTGGGAACCAGCCTGGAAACCGACTGGGAACCAACCGGAAAACCAGCTGGAAACCAGCCTGGAACCAGATGGAAACCGACTGGGAACCAGCCTGGAACCAGATGGAAACCAGCCTGGAAACCGGCTGGGAACCAGCCTGGGAACCGGCCGGGAACCAGCCGGGAACCAGATGGAAACCAGCCGCGAACCAGATGGAAACCAGCCGGGAACCAGCCTGAAACCAGATGGAAACCAGCCTGGAAACCGGCTGGGAACCAGATGGAAACCAGCCGGGAACCAGCCTGGAACCAGATGGAAACCAGCCGGGAACCTGCCTGGAAACCAGCCTGGAACCAGCCTGGAAACCGGCTGGGAACCAGCCGGGAATCAGCCTGGAACCAGATGGAAACCAGCCGGGAATCAGCCTGGAAACCGGCCTGGAAACCAGCCTGGAAACCGGCTGGGAACCAGATGGAAACCGGCCGGGAACCAGCCTGGAAACCGGCTGGGAACCAGCCGGGAATCAGCCTGGAACCAGATGGAAACCAGCCGGGAACCAGCCTGGAAACCGGCTGGGAACCAGCCTGGAAACCGGCCGGGAACCAGATGGAAACCAGCCGGGAATCAGCCTGGAACCAGATGGAAACCGGCTGGGAACCAGCCTGGGAACCAGCCTGGAAACCAGCCTGGAATCCGGCTGGGAACCAGCCTGGAAGCAGCCGATCCAAACTGGGAGCAGATCCCTTTAAATCATGAAATCTGAGGGAACTGGATCCTTTCAGCCTGTTTTTCTATCAGTTGTTTTTAGCGAAGGATCAACGAGTGAAACTGAAGGAACTAATGAGTTCAGGTCTGATCAGGAGCCTGACTGTTTCCCGCTAACGCTTGGACCTTGCAGGGAGACCGGATGTGGAACTTTGCGGTGGCCGTCTTCCTGGTGGAGCTCTACGGGAACAGTCTGCTGCTGACTGCCGTCTACGGCCTGGTGGTGGCCGGCTCCGTGCTCCTGCTGGGGGCCAACATCGGGAACTGGGTGGACCGGAACCCCAGACTCAAAGGTAAGACCTGACGGCCAATTGGGCGGGAGGGTGGGTCCGATGTGTGTCCCTGATGCTGGTTCTGGTGTCCCGCAGTGGCCCAGACCTCCCTGCTGGTCCAGAACACCTGCGTGATCCTGTGCGGGGTCCTCCTGATGCTGGTCTTCCAGTTCAAAGGTCAACTGGTGGAGCTCTACCACGGATGGATACTGGTAGGTAAAAGGGAGTTTTTCCTCTCCACTGTCGCTACAAGCATGCTTAGTGTGAGGGATTGCTGAAGAGTCAATGAGTCGATGCAATCAGCTGGTTTTCCTTAGATAGAAAACTTTGAATCAATCTCACTGGATGATCTGGTTGAACTGGATCTATAAAGTGACCTGAAATGACAGGATGTTAACTGCAGCTATAGAAATAAACTGAGTAGATGTGTTAAGCAGAACTCTGACCCGCGGGTCGGGTTCTACTGATACTGGTTTCTGGCTGCTGAGGCCTTCTGCTTGTTCTGGGATCAGAGGTCCGGTCAGCCGGTTCCTCACATTCAGGCCTGAAGGATTTGGACCCAGAACCGGGTCAGCAGGGGCAGCAGGACTGCAGACTCAGCAGGTGGGCCTCAGTGAGGAACAAAGGCAGCCTGTCTGCTGAGAGCGGGGGGGGGTTGGGGTCAGCAGGTTGATCATGTGACCCAAAGACGGAGGAAATCCTGGTCCTGCTGAGGGATTTCTGTTGCCATGGGGACCAGAGGGAGCTGATCCGGTAACCTGGTTTACGAGCCGTCGGAAGGTTCTGCTGCATTTATGATGTCGTAACGACAGCAGCTGCAGCTCCGAGCTAATGATTCACCAGCAATGTGACCTTTGACCTTACGAACAGCGAGGCTTCTGACATGAAAAGATTGAAGTTTATTGGAGAAAGAAAAGATCAAAGAATAAACAGCAAAGAGTCACTGGGTCTGGTTCTGGGTCTAGGTCCGGTTCTGGGTCCGGTTGAGGGTCAAGTTCTGGGTCTGGTTTTGGGTCTGAGTCCGGTTCTGGGTCAGGGTCTGGTTCTGGGTCTAGGTCCGGTTCTGGGTCTGGGTCCAGTTCTGGGTCTGGTTGAGGGTCAAGTTCTGGGTGTGGGTCCGGTTCTGGGTCTAGGTCCGGTTCTGGGTCTGGGTCCGGCTCTGGGTCTGAGTCCGGCTCTGGGTCTGGGTCCGGTTGAGGGTCTAGTTCTGGGTCTGGTTTTGGGTCTGGGTCCGGTTCTGGGTCTGAGTCCGGCTCTGGGTCTGGGTCCGGTTGAGGGTCAAGTTCTGGGTCTGGGTCTGGGTCCGGTTCTGGGTCTAGGTCCGGGTCTGGGTCCGGTTGAGGGTCAAGTTCTGGGTCTGAGTCCGGGTCTGGGTTTGGTTCTGGTTTTGGGTCTGGGTCTAGGTCCGGTTCTGGTTCTGAGCCCGGTTCTGGGTCCAGTTGAGGGTCCGGTTCTGGGTCTGAGTCCGGTTCTTGGTGTGAGTCTGGGTCTGGTTCTGGGTCTAGGTCCAGTTCTGGTTTTGGGTACAATCTTTTCTTTAGACTCAAAGTGCAGCTTATATCACTGCAGTTAGACTGGACTTCTGCCCAGTCTGGACCCGGTTCTGACCCGGTTCTGATGTCGTTGCTTCCAGACCACCTGCTACATCCTGGTCATCAGCATCGCCAACATGGCCAACCTGGCGAGCACCGCCACCGCCATCACCATCCAGAGGGACTGGGTGGTGGTGGTCGCCGGGCAGGACAGCAGCAAACTGGCAGGTGAGCTGCTGCTGCTTCTTCTTCTTCTTTTTCTGCTTCTTCTTCTTCTTCTTCTGCTTCTTCTGCTTCTTCTGCTTCTGCTGCTGCTTCTTCTTCTGCTTCTTCTTCTTCTTTTTCTGCTTCTTCTTCTTCTTCTTCTTTTTCTTCTTCTTCTTCTTCTGCTTCTGCTGCTGCTTCTTCTTCTGCTTCTTCTGCTTCTGCTTCTCTTGCTTCCAGCCCATCCCCTCCACAGCGCGGTGAGCTGGGGGGGCGATGGCGGTGAACTGGGGGCGGTAACGAGCGGATCTCGCTGTCCTTCCTCACACAGACATGAACGCCACGGTACGCATCATCGACCAGCTCACTAACATCCTGGCTCCCATGCTGGTGGGTCAGATCATGGCGTTCGGCTCTCATTTCATCGGCTGCGGCTTCATCTCGGGCTGGAACCTGTGCTCCATGTGCGTGGAGTACGCCCTGCTGTGGAAGGTCTACCAGAAGACGCCGGCGCTGGCGGTGAAGGCGGGACAGAAGGAGCAGCAGGAGCTCAAGCAGCTGAGCTCTGACAGAGGTACCGCCTTCCATCTTTGGCGTCTGTGGATCTGAAGGTTCCAGACCGGAAGCTCTAAACGTTTTCTCTCCCTGACAGATTGTGAGAACGGCCAAAGCCTCGAAGAGTCGTCTCAGCCGCTGATGAACGAGGCGGCGGCGGCGGCGGCGGCCTCTCCCGGCGGGTCCGGCTGCTGCCAGCAGGTCAGCAGGCCGCTGCAGACCTTCAAGGCCGGCTGGGTGGCGTACTACAAGCAGGACATCTTCCTGGCGGGGATGTCTCTGGCCTTCCTCTACATGACGGTCCTGGGCTTCGACTGCATCACCACGGGATACGCCTACACCCAGGGCCTGAACGGCTCCATCCTCAGCCTGCTGATGGGGGCCTCCGCCATCTCCGGCATCTGCGGCACCGTGGCCTTCACCTGGGTCCGCAAAAGGTGCGGCCTGATCCGGACGGGCTTCATCTCGGGCACGGCGCAGCTGTGCTGCCTCCTGCTGTGCGTGGCGTCCGTCTTCGCTCCGGGGAGCCCCTTCGACCTCAGCGTCTCGCCCTTCCAGGACCTTTACAGCCACCTGATGGGGGAGCAGACCCTGCCGGAGGCCGAGCACGGGCTTACGGGCGCCCTGGGCGGAAACGTCACCAGCGCCCCGCCGCCAGAGGAGCTGCCGCCGCTGCAGTCCTACATGTCGGTCAGCCTGCTGTTCGCCGGCGTCATCGCTGCCCGAGTCGGTGAGTGGAAACCTGGAAATAAACCAGAGTCCTTCAGATTTAACGTCTGAGGATTCATTAAAGGTAAACGTTCCTGTTAGGAATCCGCTGCGTCGGCAGCTTCACTTCCTTTCACCATAAAGTGCAGGCGGTGGGACTGTGACCTCCTCCAGAGGAAGGAGTCATATCTGCAACCTTTGAAGCCATTAACGCGCCCTGCGGCTCCCGGCTAAACGCTTGCTTTTCCTGCAGGTCTGTGGTCCTTTGATCTCACCGTGACGCAGCTCATCCAGGAGAACGTGATGGAGTCCGAGCGAGGCGTGATCAACGGAGTCCAGAACTCCATGAACTACCTGCTGGACCTGCTGCACTTCATCATGGTGATTCTGGCGCCCAACCCGGAGGCCTTCGGCCTGCTGGTCATCATCTCCGTGTCCTTCGTGGCCATGGGTCACCTGATGTACTTCCGATTCGCCTTCAAGAGCCTGGGCCGCCGCCTCTTCCTGTGCCGCTCGCCGGAGCAGAAGATGGAGTCGGCCGAGGACGTCTCTCTGCCCGCCACCGTGTAGAACCCACTGGTCCCAGTCTGACCTGCCCTGCCACCTATTTATCCAACCAGTAGCTTGTAGCTGTCTGTCATTAGCGCAGCAGACGGACCGTAGATTAACCCGATAGGTCGCCCCTCCATGACCTTCTGCCTTTGCTTATTAACACGTTCGTGTCGTCTCCCCCTGGTTTAATGGACTCCATTAAAGGGAGGGCGATCAGGGAAGCGGGCGACGAGGAACGCCTGTCCTGGTGCTGCGTCTCCGTGCCGGGTCACGGAGGACGCCTCTTCTGTAACCAAACTTTCGTGGCGATGAGGGTCTATCTGTATATATTTCGACGGCGGTTTTTCTATGGCAGTATTCTGTGTTTCTCGTGCCAAACAAACCAGGAAGCAGCTTTGCAGGAAGCTCCTCGGTACCAAAGTCTGCATGGCGGCGTTAAAGGAAGCCAGGGAACGCGTCCGTCTGTGGGCGTGACGCGGCGCCGCAGCACGGCGTGGGAACCCTTCTTCAGATCATTAATGTTGGTGTGATTTCTGCTGATTGTCGTTACTCAGGCACTTTATGATTGGCTGGTGTCCGAACGCCTCTGATCTTCTGGCTCAGTGATTGGCTGGTGTCCGAACGCCTCTGATCTTCTGGCTCAGTGATTGGCTGGTGTCCGAACGCCTCTGATCTTCTGGCTCAGTGATTGGCTGGTGTCCGAACGCCTCTGATCTTCTGGCTCAGTGATTGGCTGGTGTCCGAACGCCTCTGATCTTCTGGCTCATTGATTGGCTGGTGTCCGAACGCCTCTGATCTTCTGGCTCAGTGATTGGCGGGTGTCCGAACGCCTCTGATCTTCTGGCTCAGTGATTGGCTGGTGTCCGAACGCCTCTGATCTTCTGGTTCAGTGATTGGCGGGTGTCCGAACGCCTCTGATCTTCTCGCTCAGTGATTGGCTGGTGTCCGAACGCCTCTGATCTTCTGGCTCAGTGATTGGCTGGTGTCCGAACGCCTCTGATCTTCTGGCTCAGTGATTGGCTGGTGTCCGAACGCCTCTGATCTTCTGGCTCAGTGATTGGCTGGTGTCCGAACGCCTCTGATCTTCTCGCTCAGTGATTGGCGGGTGTCCGAACGCCTCTGATCTTCTCGCTCAGTGATTGGCGGGTGTCCGAACGCCTCTGATCTTCTCGCTCAATGATTGGCTGGTGTCCGAACGCCTCTGATCTTCTCGCTCAGTGATTGGCGAGTGTCCGAACGCCTCTGATCTTCTCGCTCAGCTCTTCTTCTCTCTTTGCACATAGGTTCTGCCCTCAGTCATGCGGCGTCTGGGTGGAAAACTCAAAGTAGGCACATATTCCAACTCTGTTCACCTGGGTTACCATGGAAGCACCACTTCCTCAAACTCAAACGGCCTCAGTCAGCAATAGCTACCTGCCAGCAAACCTCCCAGTCTGGTGGTTTTTAGCTTCCGCTGCAGAATCACGTTTCTCTCTTCTGAATAAGAAGTTCTTTGTAGGAAAACATAAAAACTCCAGACGGGTTTATTTGGACTTTGGCTGCTTGGTTTAGGTCCAGAAGTCTGCTGCTAGCAGCTAAAGACGGGACCAGTTTGCCACTGGGAGTCTCCTCCTGGGAGCCGCACCCGGTGGAAACTGGAGGAAAAGCAGCCAAAGTCCAAAGAGCTGAAGCAGCAGAATCTGGACCTTCTAGTGGAAGATGGTGCGAGTCCATATAAGCTCCCATGATGTTCAGGTAGACCTGAGAGGACCTTCATGGATCTATCAGCCTCAACAGCTGGTTAACGCACACAAGCACAGGCTGGCTCAGGACGGCCCGTCCCAGCCGGGTCCAAGGACTCGCTCTGGAACCCGACAGGACGGCGCAGAACTGAGGGAGCCTTCAGTCCGAGTCACTTTCTAATACAAGCTCTGAGCGAGTCCGATTCAGGAACATCTCACATGTCCATCAGCTCCATGTGAAGATCAGCTCTGAGTCGGCAGCCAGAGATGGAGAACTCTTGGTTTTTATTTTTGTTTTCATGTTTTTTGTGTCAATTATTGCTTTTCTCTGAATCCAGTTGCTCTAATCTTCCTCTGAGTTTGTTTTGAAACGTCCAGTATTGTAGTTTTCTAGTTAAGAGCTGAAATCATAAAGGAATCCAGCTTGTTTCTGTGTAAAAATCACTCCAGGAGGAGAAGGTTCTGAAATAAAGAGGAGAATAAAAACATGCTGTTTGGCTCTGTGTGACATCACTTCCTCTAAAAGCATCGAATCTGCAGAGCAAATTCTGACCAGGATCTACCGGAACCACTGGTTCTGGTCAGATTCTATTCCATTTATTTCTATAGCTCCACTTTACAACACATCTCATCTCAGGTCACCTTATAGATCCAGACCATTCAGATCATCCGGTCTGACTTTACAGGATGAGCAGGTAGAGACATAGAAGCACTGATCTATAAACACTTTCTATGTCAGAAAAGCTAACGGTTAACTAGCTCCACAGGAGGCTCTGTCTGGCAGAGAAAGAGTTAATAGACGAACTGATCCAGTTTCAGTCGGAGGATGAAAGAAGATCCAGTTAGTCCCAGTAGAAGCTGAGCCCAGAGCTACATGAGTGAAATGGGACTAAACACTGGAAAACAGGCCGAGCTCCAACATCTAGAAACAAAGGTGTTGGTGTCTATAATCCAGATGAAGCTAATCCGTTACATAGATTACAGGCAACTTTCTGCTTCTGAATGCAGATAAAACAGAAGTTCTGGTCTTTGGAGGAAATTCTAGAAACCTCTTTGATGTGGGATTTAAATGACAGGTCCTGATCAAAAATAACACCAAGATTTTTTACTTTATTATCTGAAATCAGTTTAATCCCATCCAGATGAAGTGACTGGCTAATCAGCTTCTTTTTCAGAGACTCTGGTCCAAAGACTATAACTTCTGTTTTGTCTGCATTCAGAAGCAGAAAGTTAAGAGTCATCCAGGTTTTTCTGTCTTCAGACATGCCTGTAATCTATGTAATGGGTTAGCTTCATCTGGATTATAGACAGATATAGCTGGGTATCATCAGCATAACAGTGGAAATTAATCCCATGCTGTCTAATAACTCTACCATTTGGGAGCATGTATAAAGTAAAGAGAATAATCTCTCCTGTCAAATATTTATATTACAGAGGAAATATTTTAAGTTCAAAATAAATGAGATTTTATGAAAACAAGTCAAGTAAACCTGAAGATTCAGGCCTGAGAGGAAGTTAAATAATAAATAAAAAACTGCTGAGCCTCTGTTGCTATGACGATGCCCAGCAATGTTTCCCATCTGAGTTCAATCAGATGGTGGATTCATCTGAGCTCTGGGGGATGCTCCAGAACCAGGACCTCCTCCTGACCCCTTGGTCTTCAGGCAGCTAGTTGTTTGATCTCCATAGAACCAGAACCAGGACCTCCTCCTGACCCCTTGGTCTTCAGGCAGCTAGTTCTTCTCTGATCTCCATAGAACCAGAACCAGGACCTCCTCCTGACCCCTTGGTCTTCAGGCAGCTAGTTCTTCTCTGATCTCCATAGAACCAGAACCAGGACCTCCTCCTGACCCCTTGGTCTTCAGGCAGCTAGTTCTTCTCTGATCTCCATAGAACCAGAACCAGGACCTCCTCCTGACCCCTTGGTCTTCAGGCAGCTAGTTCTTCTCTGATCTCCATAGAACCAGAACCAGGACCTCCTCCTGACCCCTTGGTCTTCAGGCAGCTAGTTCTTCTCTGATCTCCATAGAACCAGAACCAGGACCTCCTCCTGACCCCTTGGTCTTCAGGCAGCTAGTTCTTCTCTGATCTCCATAGAACCAGAACCAGGACCTCCTCCTGACCCCTTGGTCTTCAGGCAGCTAGTTGTTTGATCTCCATAGAACCAGAACCAGGACCTCCTCCTGACCCCTTGGTCTTCAGGCAGCTAGTTCTTCTCTGATCTCCATAGAACCAGAACCAGGACCTCCTCCTGACCCCTTGGTCTTCAGGCAGCTAGTTGTTTAATCTCCATAGAACCAGAACCAGGACCTCCTCCTGACCCCTTGGTCTTCAGGCAGCTAGTTCTTCTCTGATCTCCATAGAACCAGAACCAGGACCTCCTCCTGACCCCTTGGTCTTCAGGCAGCTAGTTCTTCTCTGATCTCCATAGAACCAGAACCAGGTTTAGTTTCAGTAACACAGATTGCTGCTCTGGGTTTCATTAAGGGCTATCAGAGTAAAAGGGGCCTAAATGCAGATGTTTATGTGAAACAATGATGCCTCAGGTTCTAGGTGGATCTCCATGTGTTGGTCGCTCGGTCCTCTAAAAGAGGCTCAACCAGCTGATAGAGAAGGCCGGTTCTGTTCTAGGAACTCCTCTAGACCCTCAGAGATGATTTCACAGAGAACGTCACGGAGAATCCACTTCATCACAGATGTTGTGATTCTATAGTTAAATTCTATTCCCAGCCCGCTGGGAATTTATGTTTCTGATACCTTAAGATGTTTATTTCCCTCCCCAGTAGGGGGGATAAATATCTTATTTAATCAGATATTATTTCAGCTGTTATATACTGTTTATGACACACAGTCCTACTAACTGTGTGTTAGAACAATAGATGAAAGAGTGATTCAGCTCTAATCGTGGTCAAACAGTTATTTCTGCACATGGAATAAATTCACCACAACTTCTGTTCAAAATATAAGATTTTATTAACAAAAATCATTCAGCTCCAAGTCAACATATTTCAGTTTAACACTCTCAACTAAGACTAGTAAAACTCAACTAAACTAAACTAACTACTATGTACAAAGAGGAAGGGGAAAACGTTTGGAAAACATTTTACAGTTTAAGATGGATTCTGTGTTTGAAACCAAAGTTTATCTGGAAGAATTTGTGATCTGATCAAATTAGCTTTTCACTAATTTAGAGAAATTGGAAAGTTTTCAGACCAATTCACAATGCAAATCCATGAGGTGAATAAAACATTATTGATGTTTTATTAAATGATTTGCTTAATCAGGAACCAATAACCTTTAGTTAATGATTCTTTACCCTCTTTGAAATAGCTAGCAGGGAATAGAGATCAGGATTCCACTAAATGACTCTTGGTCAGACTTGCTAATGGAAATGAGCATCTGAGGAACACATGAACACTGATGTTATATCAGTGTTTAACCCTTAGTGAATAAAGCTTGTCTAAGCTTTAGCAACAGCTCAACACACCTTCCTGTAGCATAGCGTAGCATGCAGTCCATTCTTTAGCATTAATTAGCGTTAGCTTTACTTAGCAGTAAACACACGATATGATTAGCATCATCAAAAGACACATTGCTTGTTCTGTCCCTAATCATGCCAGACCTGCAAACCTTTTTCCATGTCCATTTGGAAAGCTTGAGTTTCATCCATTTGCAGCTCTGCAGTCAGGGGCTCTTTGTCCCAGTCTCACAGCAGGGGTCCCCTCAGTCTCACACCAGCGCATGGTCCTCATCCAGTTTGGCTCTGTAAGTTCTGAAACTCAAGAGAAATGTGTTGTAAAAGTTCTGTTTGCAGCAGTTTGGTTCTGAAGAGTTCTGACTCATCCTTGATGGTTCTGGGGATCTGGTTCCCCTGGGGCCCACATCTCCACTGTGGGCCACAGTGGGCCCCAGCTTTGAGCGCAGGAGCAGAAGGGACCAGGAGAGAGGTGCTGGAGCAGAAGAGCAAAAGAGCGAGGCAAAAGAGGCAGAATCCTGTGTGCTCTGTGGTTTTCTCTGTCCTCACAGGGAGGGGGGTATGTTTTCACACCTCTGCTGGACTGCTTTGGCTGAAAAAGGGGGGCTTCTGAAGTCCCCCAGCTGTTATTCACCAAAGCTGCGTTTTCTTCTCTGGTCAGCCTATCAGGATGAAATATGGACACTGGTTCCCGCTGTCCAAAAAGTATGATCATGGCATATGGCACAACACAGAGAACATCACGGAGAATCCACTTCATCGCAGAGAACATCACGGAGAATCCACTTCATCGCAGAGAACGTCACGGAGAATCCACTTCATCGCAGAGAACGTCACGGAGAATCCACTTCATCGCAGAGAACGTCACGCAGAATCCACTTCATCGCAGAGAACGTCACGGAGAATCCACTTAATCGCAGAGAACGTCACGGAGAATCCACTTCATCGCAGAGAACGTCACGCAGAATCCACTTCATC